ATATCAAATAGCTGCTCGGAAGACTACTGAAATTAGCACCGAGAGACTACTAAAAGAAACAGTTATTAGCATCTGTTTTTGACGCAGTGCCTCTTTCCTTTCCAAACACGATTTTCTTTGATTTATTATTTCTCCTTTTCTTTTGGAGAGATGTTGATTCTAAGGTCTCATTGTCCACTTTGGATGTTGAGATCCATCAAACACAATGCCATCTGCATTTTCAAGCAAAAACAGCTAAAGATGAAAGCAGCAAATGGCGAAAATATCACAAATCTCAAGACAAAACTTGGTTTTGGAACTGTTGTAATTTGAATTGTATTTTGTTTAAGGGTTTTTGTTAACAAGTTGTATATATTATGAGAAACAAAAAGAATTTTATAAAATTAGTTCTCAGTACAGCGACCAGAACTCTTAAACACTTGTGTGTCATCATCAAAAAGGGGAAAATTGTTGGGAAAAATTATACTACCTCCATCCCATTGTCTTTGTCCAGTTTTGACTTTTAGAACTGTTCATCTAAGCACTTTGACTCATCAAATTCTCTCAATGTGTAAGCGTAAAAATAGTCATGTGTGATCTTGTTTGATTCGTCTTAACATATAGATTATTAATATATAATTTTTATAATTTTTTAATATACAAATTACAAGATAAAATGGATTAAAGAAGTGCATTGGATGGTGTGCCAAAAGGTAAGTGGACAAAGACAGTGGGACGGAGGGAATATATTTTGATGATGATGTATTTAGATTGTAATAGGGACTTTAGGTCACTCCTAATATTCAATGTAATTTTCTTTTTAGAAATATTGTTAAAACCGAGTTCTTGAGATTTCCAATAAACCTTGTGATATTTCATTTTGTTGTTTGATTTCACTTCTTGAAGACTTACAAAAATCAGTGATATGGAAATTGGAATTCTTTCAAAACTTTTTCTATTTTTCCCTTCGTCTTTAAAAACCCCTTCTCTTTCATCCCCTTTCTCATTCTCTTTTTGTTTCTTAAAACCTTTTTTCATTCTTTCTGTCTTTTTCTTTCCTTTCACTGCCCCTCCACTTTCCTTTCCAAACACGATTTTCTTTGATTTATTTTTTTTCATTTGCTCTTGGAGAGATGTTGATTCTAAGGTCTCAGTGTCCACTTTGGATGTTGAGATCCATCAAACACAATGTTATCTGCATTTTCAAGCAAAAAGAGATGAAGATGAAAGCATCAAATGGCGAAAATATCATAAATCTCAAGACAAGACTTGGTTTTGGAACTGTTGTAATTTGAATTATACTTTGTTTAAGAGTTTTTGTTAACAAGCTGTATATTATGAGAAACTAAAAGAATTTTGTAAAATTAGTTCTTAGTACAGTGACCATAACTCTTAAACACTTGTATGTCATCATCAAAAAGGGGGAAATTGTTGGTAAAATTATAGATTTTGATGATGATGTTTTTAGATTGTAATAGGGACTTTAGGTCACCCCTAATATTCAATGTAATTTTCTTTTTAGAAATATTGTTAAAACCGAGTTCTTGAGATTTCCAATAAACCTTGTGATATTTCATTTTGTGGTTTGATTTCACTTCTTGAAGACTTACAAAAATCAGTGATATGGAAATTGGAACTCTCGCTCAGAAATTTGAGAGACAAGTAAGGAATTCTCAAAGAAGTTTGTTTACTTTGGAATCCAAAGAACCGGAATGCTCGTTGATACCCGGAAGTCTCGCTACAACCTGCTGAAGGCTAAGTAATCTGAATCTGAAGACTAGCGCGGATCACTCTCTCACCCGGAAGTCTAAGGATGACTTATGCGCAAGTGTCAAACGAAGAACCAGATGTCTTAAGGAAGACTGGAACTCTCAGAAACGGACAAGTGAGAAAAGACTTAGGAATTTATCAAGTCATGAATGAAGAAACTCTACCCGTTGGTAAGGAAAAAACCAATCTCTTGATTTTCAACAGCTAGATTGAGGAAAATTAAGTTGATTCAAGAACAAATTGCATAAAGACAAAGTCTGGACTTCTCAAATTGAATAGCTCGGCCAGAATTCTTGAACAAACACAAGAAGACAAAATGGGTACTCCACTTAATAAAGAGCTATAGTCTAGAATTCTTGAAAAACAACTAAAGGAAAAATCCTGTGAAAAAGGAAACCCTTTTCAAACAATTGGGTATGTCCAAACACTCACTCCAAAGGAGAATCCCCAATCTCCCTCGTCGTTCAAATAGAAGCCAGCAAATGCAACGGATAGTCTATTTCCTTCAGCGGATAGATTATCCATCCAACTTATATATAGCTCCAATGGAAGACAAAGAACTAGAAAGACAATGAACATAGAAAACTAAAATCAAAGCTATCTCATTTCACAGTTAGCCAAAAAGCTTGATAAAGAGAGATTTCTAAACTCCTTATCCAGAAGCAAACTTCACCTTCTTCCAAAGAGCTATATTGAAAACACTTGGAGGCCTCCTTGCCTCAAGTACCTCACCACATTGAAGGATACAACTTTTAATCAAACATCTTAATTAAAACGGGGCACATCAACCTTTCTACAAGTTGATCTTTCAAGTCCTATTGTTTGTACCTTGCAGTTGTTGAAGAATCTTGACCTTCGAAGTATCAATAAAGCCAGCACGAGTGCAGTAGCAACATTGGCCTTGCAAAGATATACTATTCAAAAATTTACAAGAAGTGTAATTGTTGGTTCATTTTCAACAACCAACTACATAGTGGATTTTGAGGATGTAGAAGGATTACCCCACCTTCGAACCTCATTAAAGTCTGTGTGTCTCTCTCTTATCTTTACTTATATTTGCATTTATATTAACTGTGAAACTAACCCATCCATATTGATTACTGCTCCATTAACCCACCAAATTCCGCACACAATCTAAGTTCACAAGAACTTTAGATTAACACTCACTTCACGTATTCAAAAGAAACGAACATGTTTTAAATTTGTAACGAAGTCTATTCACCCCCCCCCCCTAGACTTTATATCTCACCACTAAGGGGCCAATCATTAACACTCGATTCTAGGCCGCTATTTGTTATTAGATATTATGACTATTGTTTGATTGTTGATTTTGATGAATTAATGATGAAGAATATTCTGAATGGTGATCATGAACTGTTAAAGTGAGAATAATGAATTAATGAATCGTATTGTTAAAACTACTTAGCAGACCTCTAAGATAGGCCTATGATTAGAATGGGCCTTGCGGGTATAAAATGTATACTCGGTGGCCTTGGGTAAAAATGTACGTATAGGGTCCATAAACCAAACTTGAGGATCACTCGTTTGGGGATACCACCCAACCCGACAGTTAGTATTCTACTGCTCGGTTATGTGTATGGTACCTTAAGCGAAGGCTAGTTTAACAGTTGGAAAGTCGGACGGGGAATATGTACCTTAAACTAATGACCTAACTTAAGAGTTGGATAGACGTAAGAAATGGATAGAAGTACCTTAAACTAGAATTAGTTTCAGAGTTGGTAAATAAAATTAGTAATTGGCCTTAGACTAGAAACAACTTAAGAATATTGTTGAGTATGGATGTTGGATATTGTATAATGGATATTGATGAATGTTGTGTGGATGATATGAAATGATTAAATTATGAATTGAGGTTCAATTTATATTGATCTGTTTTGACATTCTCAAGCTATGAGCTTAGGAAGAAATTACTATGACTTGGTTATTATTGATGATTATTCTCTTTATACATAGACCTTATTTCTTGCTCACAAGAGTGATGCACCCACACCATTTCGTAAATTCACTAATAAGAAGGTTCAAAATGAAAAAGAGTGAAGCATTGTGGCCGTAAGAAGTGATCATAAGAGAGAATTCAACCCCATGAATGCCTCAACATAACGGTAATATTGAGCAGAAAAACTGATCTTTTAGGCTCCGTTCCGTTCAACTTATTTTTTCTGATCCGATCTGATTGGATCTGATCTGATCTGATTGGATCTGATCTGATCTGATCTGATTGGATCTGATCTGATCTGATATGATTAATTATGATTTAATTTAAAATTTCAAATCAATAATTTGATTTGACTTTATAATAACTTTTGAAAATTGTAATGATAATTCATATTATAATATAATCAATATTTTTATTTAATGATTATTTTTTAATAAAATAAAAATAGTTAATTCATATATTAGAATAATCATTTATATTATAATGTAATAATATTGTTTATTTTATGATTTTTTTGAGAAATTAGAATATTAATTTAATATTTTAATAATTACTTCATATATACATTAGAATAAATATTTAATTTAGATATACATTAAAAAGTAATTAAATTTAGATAATCAATATATAGAAGAGATAGTATTTTTATTAAAATATCTCATCCTTATAAAAGATCAAAACTTTAGAAACTCAAATTACAAGTAGCAATAAAAATATATTTTAAAAGTAGAATTAGATTTAAAACTAATTTTAACGTCTAATAATTAAGGATCACTTTCTCAGGTTTCTATTTAACTTATTTCTAAAGTTTATTCTTTTTCATTTTTAACAATAACAACAACAACAATAACAACAACAACAACAACAACAACAATAATAATAATAATGATAATAATAATGATAATAATAATAATAATAATAATAATTCTTGATGGGATCTGATTTTAATAAGTCCTGATCTGATCTGATTGGAACTGATCTGATCTGATTGGATAATCTGATTCGATCTGATCTAATCTGATTCGATCTGATCTCATCTGGTCTGATCTGATCTGATTTTAATAAGAATAAGAAAAAATAAGAAAAAATAAGTTGAACAGAACGGGGCCTTAGTGATGCTACCATACCTAAGTATTTTTGGGAAGATGCAGAACTACTGCTTATCTGTACTATATAGAAAAGCAAAAGAAATTGGATTGAAAAAAAAAAGAAGAAAAAAAGATGTTTTCCTGCCCAGCAATCAGATGCGGTATTAATCTTTGATGCACTATTGAGATTTGGGATTAAATGTACGCTGTATTTAAGGTGGAAAAGAATTAATTATAGAGCACTGGGAATCGTCTATTTGGAATTTGGAACGACAATACTCCCTATTAACTACCCCGGAATTCAAACCCTCTCACATTGGCGTAGTCATCTTCTTTTTCTCTTCTTCTCGGAACGGTCTAGCTGGAGGCAGCGGCACGATTCAGGCTCTCTCCCTTTCGACATAGCCTGAAGTGGTAATTTTTTTTTCTTCTTCTTGCGTTATTTTTATTGAATTTGTATTTTTAAAATTTGGGCTTCTCCAAACAATTGATAATTTTAAAGTCATTTTTCACTAAAGAGAACTGTCGCATGAGTTATACTCTGGAGGCATGTCTTCCCCTCCTTCAGTTTAAACCAAACCTTAGAAAGGACCATTGAATTCGTAGAGAAACCAAAAGGATCATTGAATTCATGCAATTTTTTGTTCCCCATTGTTTATGTTGAGAATATGAAATGATTTTTTCCAACTCAGAGAATCATTGAATTTGCACAGAGACCAAATGCAAAATTTTTTTGCTTGCAGAATGATTATAATCAATTTATGACTCAACTATAAGACATGGTGCGTTCTTTGCACTTCAAGAGACAGCTTCCACCAGACCCAAACGTACAAATGCAAAAAATACTCAACATTATGATACCTCATATTGCACCATTTTGTTTTACACTTTCATATATTCCATCCGTTCCACAAAACTCTTCCGGTTTTGACTTTGGGGGAAAATAAGAAAATTGAAATTTTGGTTGACTTTCCAATTTTGCCCTTGATGTGATGGGAAAAAGTAAGATGTGATAGTTTGGTTATTAGTTAAAAAGTATGATGTGATAGGTAGGATATGAAAAAATAGGGATAAAAGTGGTTTTTTAATAGAAAGTGGAAGTGTTTTGTGGAAAGCAAAAAAAACAAAAGAGGAAGGGTTTTGTGGAACGGAAGGAATATTAAAAAGGCTGTAAAGTCTATTGCTTTTTTTTACCAAAAAGATTAATCATGGTCCAAAATCATCTTTTGCGCCATGAATAGAAGTTCTATTAATTTTCATATAACTTACTAACAAATTTGCCAGAGAGAATTACAACTTACAAGTATGACACATTTTAGATAAACATAAGTAACTAATACTCCGTATGATTTTATGATTGTGTCGAGAGGAAGAAAAGTAAAATTGACTTTGGGAAAAAGAAGAAGATAAAATTCATTTTCTTTAGGTATTGTAGCTTTTTTAATAGAATAAAATTTATGAGAGTATAAGACTCACAAACAGTTAGCCATTGCCTTTGGAAATGTGCAGGTTGAGGTTTATTTGTTTGAAATGACTGCATAAACACAAATGTGTTTATGAAGCAATTTGTGATCGTTATGACTAAAATGTCTAAGAGTAGAGCCGTTGAAAGCAGAGAACTAATAATAAGATGTGTATCACTTATCTCGCGTTAACAATGTGAAGTTATATCTTGCAGCTTTAGGTTTTAATATCTTCTTAATTTTCTTATTATTAGATCAAGATAAAAGTTTTTAAAAAGAATCTTATTGTTATGTTTGCATATTCTCTCCCTTCCCTGTGGTAGTAAAATCATTTGAATAGTTAGCATATTGGTTTTGTTAGTTCTCTTCTACGGTTGTAGCATTAGGTACAAAACTTTTGTTAAGCTTGATGTTGGCCAAAGTTTAAAACCCTTGATGCTGGCTTTCACATTTGACAAGAAATAGACATGTTAATATGGTTTAAATTTCTATTGTTTAGATTTTTTTCTCTTGATAACAAGATTGAATGTTTTTTTAGTAAGAATGAAAATTAGATCAGCTAATCACTCAATGGCCAATCCCTTATACTCCGTATATGTGTTACGTAGTATTTGTGAGTAAGTCACCAAAAGCAAGGCTTATGGTTCTAATCCCCCCCCCCCCTTCACATACTTAAAATGATTTTTATAAATTTAGGAAACTATAAATTTATGGACGGCTGAAAAATATAACAAGTCAAAAGGTTTATAGAAATTATATGTAGTTTCTGGAAGCCCGTTCTCTTCATATCGAGGAGAAGCAGTGAGATTTTTTTGTAACAATTACTCTTAGGTGACAACAAACGAGAGTTCAATGGGAGGAACGAGTATGGTGGCCGCAACGGTGGCAATTGTTAAGATGATCGATGAACCGTGGTGGTGGTGATACATTGTATCAGAGGGCCGGTTGACATTGGCTTGAATCGGTTTCAAATTTATCTGCTACTCTGCTTGAACTCTATTTCTTCGGACAATAGTGAGAGATGATTCATGTGGGACTTATATTTCTATTAATAGAAACAGTTCAAATGATTTGAATCTTTATTTGCACAATTTTATCCGCCACCATGAAAAAAAGTGTGATATAAATTACTCAATACTCCGTATGCAGTATGTCTTTTGCACTTTTCCAATGAATTGATAACAATGATGTTGGGGGTATTTATGAGGACATTAATCAATCTGGCATAATTAATCTTTGGAGTTGAAAAGGCAGAATATTTATGAGGACATTAATCCATCTTGCGTAGTTAATTTTGAGAAAAGACTCAATTTTTGGCATTGTAGATTAATATTTCTCGTTGTTTTTTTGATATTATATGTTAACATTGTTGAAATTAATGAGATAAAAGCATGGAGTATCAGTTGTTGGCATTGTAAATTAGTACTCCGTATTTCACATTGTAGATTAGTATGGAGTATTTCACGTTGTTTTTTCACATTGTTTTCACATTGGAGTATTAAAGAGATAGAAGCATGAAAGTCCAATTTGGGAGATAATTTCTACTCACTCCGTCCTGTTTTAAATTGCTCGTTTTGACTTTTAGACATATTTAATTAAAAGAAAAAATAGAATTAATTTTTCGAAATTGTCATTTGACGATGAATAAGAAATAAAGTGGTGAAGAGTGACTAATTTTAGGGATAGTTTAGATATTTTACTCTTAAAAGTTTACGAAAACAAGTAACAGGCAACTTATTTTGGGACGGAGAAAAAAGGCAAACATGCAATTTAAAATGAGACCGAGGGAGTATATTTTAGTGCTATTTTCATTCTTTTTCCTAATCAATATGTTATGCAATATTTAATTTTATGTGAATCTCAATTTATATCATTTATTTGTATTTATTTATATTCAAACAATATTACCTCAAATATTTTACAATTATGTTTTGAAACAAATTTCTTTCCGTGCAACGCACGGGTATTTCATGAGTCAAAGTGCTTAGATGAACAGTTCCAAAAGTCAAATGTGGACAAATACAGGGGGGCGGAGGGAGGTCAGGGAGTACTTCTTATTTCTTTATTCATCTCCAACTCAATTGTTTTTAGGATCCCCATCACCTCATCAAGAGTCATGCTCTACATCTTGTTATTGTGTAATAACTTTAACGTCCATATATAGAGTATTTTCTTGAAAGAGAACATGAAACATTCAACACAAGTTTGTATTCTTCAAATGGCTGACCAAGTCATTCTGCTTCATTCACCAACTCTCTAACACAGCCATGAGAATTTGTTATAGACTTGGTATCCTCCATCTTAATATTTAAACTTTGGACATCACAATTTGAAGCTTGCCTATCTTTACCTTTGTAGTGCCTTCATGAGTAGTAAGCAAGATATCTCATGCATTGTTGGACTCTATGCAGTTTGAAATTAGAATAAAGTTCTACCAACTGCTCCAAAGATCGCATTTGAAGCCTGGTCGTTGGATTCTGTTGCCTTTTCATTCTTGGAATATATTTCATAAGGTTTTGGAATTAATTCTCCATCTCCATTTGTCATTGTGGGGACTAACCATCCACGCTCCATGCTTCTCCAAACATCTTCATCAAGAGACTTGAGAAAGTCTCACATGCGACACTTCCAAAAAGAATAACCATGGTCACATAATAGAGGAGGTGTGAATACATTGCAACCTTCTGGTAGATCTCTCATGAATATAGATTGGATCAAACTAGTAAACTAAGCTTAACCTCTCTAATACCGAGCGAAATAACTTAGAGAGCAGTGAGATTCAACAATTAAAATAAGCTTTGTAAGCAAATAAATCAATGAGATAGGCTGCAGGGAAGATGCTATAGCTCTAATCACAGAAATGGTTGACAAATAGAGTGATATACCACCTTCTCCTTCAAATGCACTCTTGCAGAAAAAATAACGTAAAAACAGTACACGCCTCACCAGAATTGTTTACGTAGTTTGTAGTAGAATCTCCCAAGTCTACGGGGCCCACGCTCATGTAAAAACCTTTCACTAAATATTAGAAGTAGATTACACTGGTCGATAACAACGTGTTGAGACACTCTTCTCTAAATTATTATGACAAACCCTCAAAACGAAGACTTCTATCTCAAAAGTTGTTTGAATTGCTTTTCGGCTATATGCCTTCACCAAGATATCTTAAAGGACATGTTTGCAACTCTAGTTCTAGAATTAGCTTCTCTAATATGGACCTTAGCTTGTAGAATCAACTTCACAAACTTGCTTCCCAAACAATAGATCTAAAATTTGATGCTTTAGTATGCTTCGTGGATAGGGACTATGATATGTCGGGATTAGTGGGACACTGGAACTAGACCGCCGTGGGTCTTCGAAGGAGAAGTCATTGCTGCTAATTTGGCCCTAGCCGATCGCTAGTGGTGTCAATGGAGTTTTTACCATGGAATACTAAAGCTTGAGTTGAAACTCGTTTGAATTGGAGGTGAGACGTAGCTTGTCTATGTCAGAGGTGAGAGGGAGCTTGTCCAGGTCGTGTTTACTTCTTTTTCCTCTCTCTTCAAAAATAAAGGCAACCAAATATTCTCCTCTCTGTTGATAGGCTCCCCCTCTCGTGCCTCTCTGTTCTGTGTATCTTATCTTATATCTCATTTTATGTGAGACTTGTGGCATACATTGTCAAATCTTAAACCCAAGCTTACTAGGTTAAGGATTTACAATCCAAAAGTAATGAAGTAGGAATAGGATTCTAGATGCTATAGGTCTTCACCTGGTGACGAATACGATGCTACAACTCAATGCTAAAACAGCTACAAGAAATTCTAAACAAATCTATTTGTTTATTAATAAAATAATACCAATAACAACTAAACACAATATCGAATTAAAAAGAGCAGCCAGGGGTGGGGGCAAGGCAGGGGGAAGGGGCGAAGGCAAGGGAAACGGGAGAGGACTGGTGGGTGGGGGAAATTAATTAACTCAAGCAATCTAATTGTTCCAGGATTGAGTAGGAAAATAAACTTTTATTTAAAGTAAACTAAAATCATTTTCTCTTCTTTGAAAAACATATTTTTCGTAAAAAATGATTTTCTATCACTTATACGAACTAACATTAAAAAATAGAATAGAAATATTCTAAAAAAAGTACTTTTCTTTCAATCAAATAAATCTAAACTGTAAAAATATAAAAGAACAAAACTTTAAAAAATTATAGAAATTTATAATAGTTTCGTGCGACTATGTACGTTAAAAAAAGAGAATCAATAACATTTACTACCTCCGTCCCGCTATATTCGTCCATTTTTTACTTTTGGAACTGTTTATCTAAGCACTTTGACTCATCAAATTCTCTCAATGTGTAAGCCTAAATATAGTTATGTGTGATCTTGCTTGATTTGTCTTAACATATAGATTATTAATATATACTTGATCCGTCCCTAAGTGTTTGTCCACTTTTAACTTTTGGAACTGTTCATCTAAGCACTTTGACTCATCAAATTCTCTCAATGTGTAAGCCTAAAAATAGTCATGTGTGATCTTGTTTGATTCGTCTTACCATATAGATTATTAATATATAATTTTTATAATTTTTTAATATACAAATTACAAGATAAAATGGATTAAAGAAGTGCATTGGATGGTGTGCGCGCAAAAATGAAAGTGGACAAACACTCAGAGACGGAGAGAGTATTTTATATAATTTTTTAATATACAAATTACAAGATAAAATGGATTAAAGAAGTGTATTAGATGGTGTGTAAAAATGATAGTGAACAAATACTCTGGGACAAAGGGAGTAAAATAGAAAAATACTAGGATGGTGTACCCCATTTGTCCCCCACTCTCTCCATTACCACAAAAATGAGTAAGAGAAAAAAGGTAAATAAATAAAAATAAAATAAAAACAAATAGTAGAGAAAGGAGTGAGGGACAAATGTGGCAAATTATATGGTACATCCAGCTGTACCTTCCTTTAGGTACATCCTGGTATTTTTGTAAATTTTGCAAACCTTTTATCCAATGCCCAGGACATATGTTTGAGAACTATTATATATGACAATGAGTACGAGCAGATTTGAGAATTATCATATTCTTATTCAATACAAAGATGAATAAATCTGGGTTTTAAATTCTCCATGCTTAGAGAGTATAAACGAGTAGGAACAAATCGAATAGAGGAAGATCGAAGTTGATGATGGTACTGAACTTTTTAATTATGAAAAAATTGAACAATACTTTATTTCAGAATGAACATTTCCTTATTTGAGAATAGGAATTGTTTTTTTAAGAATGAACACTATGCTATTTATTACGGAGTATAATTATGTTAGACAAATGTATAAAAATGAGTATTTTTTATTTTAAAATGAGTACTACCTTTACCAGAATGAGTACTACGTATTTCGAAATAAATATTTACATTTGTACGAGAATGAGTAATACTTTATTTCAGAATAAGTATTACCGGGATGTACCAATTTCTAGGTAGGTCCGGATGTACCATATACCAACTCTACAAATGGGGTACACACCAAATAAATAGTACCCTCCGTCCCTCTCTATATTTGTCCATCTTTAAAATTAGGGGTGAGCAAGTACCGAACCGATACCGAAATTTTCCGAAAAAACCGAGAATACCGAACCGAAAAATACCGAACCGAAAAAATACCGAGAAGAAACCGAACCGTACCGAATCGAATGGTCGGTACGGTATTCGGGAACGGTACGATGTGACGTCCCATACCGAAAATCTCGTACCGAACATATATACTAAAATATTATAAAAATAATACCCCGGAGTAATATTTTTATATTTCTTCACTAGATAATAATTTTTTAAAAAAATTGGTTCAAGTTCTATAATGTGTAAATTATACTTTTATTTGAGTTTTAATTTTTGTGTATGTACATAAAAGTATTCGCAAAGATTTAAAATATTCTTTTGTTGTCATTCATTTTTTTTAGTTTGTGAAATATAAACTAAATTTTGATACGCGTCTCTTGCATTTAAATATTCATTTTTTTAAAATTTTTTATATTTTTTTATTTAAATTCAATTTTAATTTTCAAAAATAAAGGGGTATTGTTAAATTTTAATGTGTAACGTAGGTATGTATATTTATCCCGATTTGTACCGATACCGATACCGAACCATCCCAAACCATACCGAACCGATATTTCGGGATCGGGATTGGTATGGAGCAAAATCTCATATCGATCAAAATATTTGGTACGATATCGGTACGAGCTAAATACGGGCTCACCCCTATTTAAAATAACTTCAAGCGACGGCCATAAAGGTACTTCAGGAGCGTGTCTAACCCTAGCAGCCCTGTTCTCAGATCCCACACCACAATGTCTAAGATCTCCTTCCGACGGCAGGGACTTTGAAATAGATGAATTGGTGGCGCTCGAGTCTCAGGTGCTCAAGCACATGATCGAGGGTGGCTGTTCGGGCACTTTTGTCCCGATCCCGAACGTGAATAGCAGGATTCTCGCTATGGTCATTGAGTACTGCAAGAAACATGCTGGTGCTGCGAATTCTTGCGATGTTGATGCGCTAAAGACCTGGGATGCTGAATTCATCAGTGTTGATCTGCAAACCCTCTTCGAACTCGCCAAAGTATGAATCTCTCCTCTCTGTTTATTCTATTCAGGTCTACTTGCCGTGTGTTTTACTCATTAGGTCTCTTCTACTAATTTATAGATCTCGTCTTATTCACTTCGACAATAGTCTCTTTGTTTCTTTCAATTTCTAAGTACTAGATTCGTTTCCAATATACGGCAAGTTATTTCTTCCAATGTATGAAATGCTACCTCCGTTTGAATTTTTTTCCCATTTGACATTTCTAGGTAGAAATTTTAAAAATTTGACCACAAATTATGAAAAAAGCATGTTGTGATGTGATATAAATTTAATACCAATAGATTCATTTTTAAGTATAATTCTGAAGTATCATATTTCAAAAATCCAATGAGAAAAAAATTTGTGTTGAGTAAGTATGAGAATTTCGTATTATAAGTGTCAAAACACTTGATTATGGAATAAAATATACAATATGACATTAATAATTTTTTATTGAAAAATATTGAAATACATTTTAGAAGAATTTCTTATATCAATCTTTAGAGTATATATTTCATTAATTCCAAAAATATTCTTACTTTTTTTTAAGAATATAAGAAACAATGTAAAGAGAAAAATTCTTTAGAATAATAGAAGAATTTTGAAACACACTTTTTTCAAAAAAGGATAAAAGATAAGAAAATAGTTTGGGATAGTTGAGTAAGAAAGGTAAATTTTGTCACAAAAGGAGTATATCTTTAAGAACACTATTCATTCTCAATTCTTTAAGATAGTAATTTTAAAAGATACACTTTTATCATAACAACACAAAGGATAACATCAATAATGAATTTTTTGAAGAGAAAATCTGATAAACACAAAATATATTCAAAAGATAATTTGTGCAGTCATAGTTATGAATTGCGTCTGCTCGTCTATGGCAGTGATGGCGTTGTGGTGAGCCTCTACCGCCTGGATTGAGGTGTGCATGGCGATGTTCTTGAGGCGCTAAAAAGCAACGACATATTTTAAAAAGGTGTGTGTCGAAGAGCGTTTTTATGGGGAGAGACAAGCGATCAAATAGCGAACATATATATATGTGTGTGTGTGTATATATGTGTGTGTATATATATATATATACATGTATATATGTATATATTATATATACATATATACATATATATACACACACACACACATATAGGGATTGACTCTAGTGAGATGACAGGTTTTGATGAGATGACGCCAAGCTCACCACATTACACTGCAAAGCACCAATGGCCAATGCAAAGCTCACCTGGAAATAAAGCAAAGCTCATCACTTTGAACACCAAAATTTACCTTTTTTTATTTTGAAAATTAAAATATTAATTAAAAATAAAACACCAACACCGGGCAACCATAGGTCAGCAGCGGCGTCCGGTGGCGGCAGAGCAGTTTCAGCGGCGGCGGAGCGGTGACGGTCAACAGTCAAAATCTAGTCAACACCCCCTTTCATTTGATTTTATTTTTTCAAAAAAATTCAAAGTGTTGAAAAAATATGGTGCACTTTGCCTAATAGTTTGGTGAGCTTTGTAGTTGTCTTTGGTGAGCTTTGCAGTGGCCAGTGGTGAGCTTTTCATGTATATATATATATATATATGTATATATGTATATATGTATGTATATATATATATATACATATGTATATATATATATATATGTATATATATATATGTATATATATATGTGTGTGTGTGTTTATATATATATATATATATATATTACTTATCAAATTCTAAGCATACATGATTCTTTGATCAAAATAACTTATTTTATGCTGATTATAAATCATTGTGGTATTCAAATATTATGAGAGCTTGTCAAGATAACGCCAACCATAGATGTTCATATATGATATCCTTCCATTATATGATACTCCCTGTATACATAAGGCCTTGATTTGGCTGTTTCAAGATGTTAAAAAATAAAAAATTCGTGATAAATTTAATCCTTAAACCAGATCTATGAAAACCAACCAGTTTGTAATTGTAGCATTGCACAATCCTTTTTAAATTTTAATCCACAAACATACCTAGTTTGAGCAAGACACCTCGAGACAGAACTCTTGAATGGTTGTCCTAGGAAGAAATGGACTAACATCCTCGTTACTATCCTTTAATTTACTAGACTCCATGGTAAAATTTGCAAAAATACATGGATTAATGCTCCAAAAATTTCGCTACAAAGATTGCATTGTTGGAGCTTTTTGTTTGGAGAGAGACATTAGCATCTTTCCTCTAGGAAAATCCATCTCTCTAACATCTCTAACATTCTACTATGTTGATTTAGATGTTGCAGCATGAGAGCTATAAGTGACATCTTTGGTGAGCTTGTTATCACTCTCAATGCCCATACATTATACTTTTGTATCATATAAAAGACTTGTTAAGAAGAGAGGAATAAATTATATACAAGATTATATCAGTTTATTATATCAGCACAATATAGTAAAATAAGATGAAAATTAAAATTAAGAAAATGAAGCATAATGGCAAATGACCTCATGTTATAGAGGCTAGATTGGCTACTCATGAGGTGAGGAAGCAAAATACTTAACTTGCTCATTCTAACAAAAAAGGAAGCCATACCAACAACAACAACCCAGTAGAATCCCACAAAAAATAAATAAAATTAGATATTTCTAGAGTCTTTTAAACATAATTCAATATTCATTTATAAATATACAATAAAATCACCAAAGTTCAACCACAGCTCTTCCAAAAGGCATTTGAGAACTTGTGTCAAATGATCTAAATTGGACACTAAAAGAAATAAGGGACACATAAACATTATGAGCAGCTTAAACCATCATGACTCTAATCTCTTCCAAGTATTAAGTCATTCATAAAATGAGCATTAAATTCATCCAAGTAGAGAAGCATATAAGGAAACCTTAGGAGTCTAAAAAAGTAAATACTTAAACTTGATGTGAAGGAAAGCTATGAATAAAATATTGAATTAATACCAAAGAAATTAATACAGCAATAAATAATATGTCTTCAAATTGGAATGGATAACGACTAGCCAACCAACTTGTTAGACTTAGCACATCTCTTGGATCATAGTTTGTAAGGCGTCGCCTAGGCTAGAAGGCATTGCCACTGGGATACCTTTTCTGCTTGACTCGCCTAGAAAATCTTAAGGCGATCAGGCGCCGCCTTTCCTCGCATTGATGCCTTCGGCCCCTTTAAAATTTTGAAAAACCCATTTTTTAGTGCAACCCAATTGCTTTTAGTGTAGCCTAATAGACTTAAACTTTTCTTTCTCTATCGGTCTTCTGTCTCAATCAAGCTTCATATAAGTATGTATGTATATATGTCGCCTAGTCGTCGCCTAGGCGATATGAAGGTACATTGGTGCCACGCCTTGCCTTGCCGCCTTACAAACAATGTCTTGGATGCTCTCTCATGAAACTTTCAAAAACTGGCATAGAGTGTGAAGTCAAATATTGGGATAAACATGGTGTACAAATACTGAATTTTCCTAACTTGGCGTGATATATAATTATTGTCTGTATTTTTTTATTTTGAAGTACTTCGTACAATTTAAAACCAAAAGGTTTTAGTGCACAGAAAACCATAAGAAGATGAACTTCTAAAGCATATTGAATTAGATTGCAAATATAATGTAGAACTGAAGTGGGCACTGCACATACCACAACAAAGGTATCATAAATTAAAGGGATGGGATCTTTATATTGATTTTTTTTGTTTTATAAAACTGAGCGTAGGATACATGATCACAGTGTAATCATGAAAAGTGAGCTCCTCCATATCGTGGTTGACTCTTCAGATAAGTTTTCATTAGTTTGAGGCTCTGTTTCGTTCAACTTATTTTTTCTGATCTGATCTAATTTTAATAAGTTCAGATGGTCAAATATGTGTAGGAAGAAACATAATTTAACCAAAATTGTGGAGGAATATAGGTAAGATGGTCAAATATTTGTAGGAAATGAAGAGTTTCTAAAGTTTACCAAATGGAGTTAGACATATAGGGAAAATTGGAGATATATAAATGGAATCATCATTATAAAAATTTGAACTATGTAATCAAGATATTAAAGGTAAAAAATTAAAACCAGAAAGATACTCATCATCATCTAAGAAATATAGCACCACGAATTCAGCATCATCCTCTTCTTTATATTATTATGGTGACAGATTCTCTGCCCCAGGAAAAAGGTTTTATAACAAAATTCAAATTAGATTCTTGAAATTACCAAGAGTTCATCTATTTTCTCACAGTTGAAACTAAAATACTTGATATCCTGTTGAAAGCGGGGAAGGGACACCATCACTATCGAAATGCTTGTAATTTTCTTGCCTCTATTTTTTCTTTGATTGAGATGATGATTGGGAACCTGACTACCTTGAGAGGCTACAAAGGGGGTTAAGGTTGAAGATAACCCCCAAATCCAATCTTTCACTCAGTGGGTCCAGTGGAAGACCTAAACAATATAAATGTTGTAGGTGAGCTTACCCATATATTGTAATTATCATTACCCTCCATATGAAATTACCGTATCGTTTACGCCCCATATTATCCAATTAATCTAGAAAGAGACAATACTCACAATTTCATAAAATAGTAAATTGGAATTCAAGAAATGGAACAGAGAAAAATTGGGGATTTGGACATATCTCATACCCCAAATATGTGGCAGAAAGGTAGTGTCTGTACTCTCTGCAGCGGCTCAACGGCTTGAAACTGAGAACGCTAGTCAGCGATGACGAACCTCTGATCAACAATGAATCTATATATCCTCTTCATAACCATCATATGTGTGTTTTAAAAGCCATAATGCATAAATTTTTAACAGATCCCATAAAACCAAAATAAGAGCTAATATAAAAAAGCTAAATATTCTATCAAGATTCTTTAACCTTATTCCTACACTTTATGAAAAATTCAGTCTTCAAATGAGTAGTTTTTTTATCATTCACAACTCTTAATTGTCAAACTAATTTATTTCAAATGCAAATAATTAGAGATTCCAACCGTGAGATTTAGGATACAAATCAAACCAAAGAAAGATTCCAGTCATAAACATAGATGAGCAAAAGACTTATTGTAGACTTTTATTTGGGAAATTGTGTAAGAAAAAGTAAACAAGAAAAAACACAATTAAAGAAACTTGGAAAAAACTGAATTTTCAAAATAGCATAGTAAATTACAAAGCATAAACATATTCACACAAAAATGTTAAGTTGATACATCTCTACTCGAGTATCCAAATTAGCCGTATCAAAATTTATCCTTTTCAAAAGATCACTTACTAAGGCAAGGGCTTAAGTGCGATAATCATCCATCCGACCAAGAAACCTAAAAATTGAATCTTTGCTCGACAGTTTTTTTACCTTCTATGTTCGCTCAAAAGCTTGCATATGATTCAGAATGACTCACAGCTAAACAGGGCCTCATCTGTTCTAAGATTGCAATAGCAGCAATAGTGTCCTTAAAACATTAGGGTTTGAGATCAGAGCAAAAAATTAATGAAATGCACCTCCGGTAGTAGATGTGCCGCGGTGTCGAGGTCTACGGTTTATCTTCGTCGCAGGTCTCCGTGAAGAATAGCAGGTTCAAATGGCAGGGAGAGTGTAGGGTGTAGTGAATGCCAGCTATGTAGGGCCAAGAGTGTACTGAATGCCAGCATCGGCTCTGTGTCTGTGTCTAGCATTATTGATGGCGAGTATTTGCATGCGATGCACCCACTACATTAAGGTGCAGCAGTTTCGGCGGGAACTTGTTTCCATGTCGCTTTGTAAAGAGTAATAATAATGTGTGTTTGAGGTTTGATTATGTAGACTTCGACTCTATTGTCAACAATGTTTGACAATTGTAGTGTGAGGTCGTCTCATGGGCTGTTTTGTTAGTTTTGATGTGTTTATGATCTCACCTTTTAATTGTAGGCTGCCCAATATCTTGACATAAGGAGCTTGTTCGATCTCATTACTCTAACGGTAGCTAAGATGATCAAGGGCAAGTCACCCAATGAGATCAGTAGAATATTCAAAATCAGGAGAGACATCCCATGGGCGGAAGAAGATCAAACAAGGAAAGAGAATTTATGGGCATTTCCAGGATAATGATTTGAAGCCCCTTATATCTCTTAATGGTAGAATGATGCTATGTCAGTTGAATATCATCTCATCTAGTAGATGCCTTAAAACTAATCTTTATTTGGTTTGGAAATAAATGACTGGCATGCTATTTCGGAACATGTTGCTTTCCAAACACCCTTCGGAAGAATCTGAATCTTTGTTATCAACCTATCTTTTTCCATAATATGAATACTTCCTAATTTTCAGTGTTATTGAATACTTCCTATTTTTCAATATTATTATTTTTAAGAGCCAGTCCAATGGGTTTGACATTGGCTACCATATAGTACACCTCCTGGTAATACTCATGCTAATGGCTGCCTTGCTTTCTCTCTACATTCTATTGTTCTTCTCCCTCTCCGCTGCATCGTGTGTCAATTTCATCCGACCACCAGAAGCGCCTGTTCGTCACCGTTGAAAAGCCATCTGCAATTGATTTTGCAAACAGGCACATCTGCAACCTAGCTCCGAGGAGCTTCCCTCTAAAAAAATTACTCTGTAACATATTTGAACTTGCTAGGAATTACTCCCTCAGCCCCATTTTATAATGACTGTTTTGGTTTACGATGTTTGACTGAAGTTATTTTCTAATCATTTTATATGACAAATGGTATAGAATTAAAAAATAAAAATTACATATCAAATTACTACATCAAAAGATCTACAAAACTAGTAGTGACAATAATACTTTATTTTATCAATTTGTTAATGAAAATAGAGAAAGAAAGTGAATGAAGTTTTACCCTGTGAATAGTAAATAGGCATTATAATTTGGGACAGAGTGAGTACAATTTTGCAATTGATGTATAAGAAAAAAGGTACCCGGGTTTGAATAGATAATACATACACATGCCAAACTAAAAAATAAAAAATAAAAGTTCACAGTTTTTTGACACTACTACTTTTGGATCTGTATATTTGTTCAGTTTTGATTTTCTATAATTAAATATTTTTGAATTTTGGCTTTTCATTAAATAAAATATATATTGTATATTAATTAAATAAAATAGTTTTTGAAAATAATTTATAAAATGAATCTAACAAAACTAGTTTTGTATCAATATTTAATATTTCTTTTATTTAATTTGTGATCAAAGTTTACTAATTTTGACCAAAAATGTCAAAAGTAGACAAATTATCAAAGACGAATGGAGTATGTTTTAAACACTAGATCTATTCCCGTGCAACAAAAGTCCATTAATTATATTCAAATTAAAAATGATATGAATATTACTCCCTACGTCCTAGTTTTATGTCCAATTTCTTTCTGACACTAGAACCAAGGAGGATGAATTTAGAGGGTAGAATTACAAAATTACCCTTAATTTTATTTCAAATTTCGAATTCGTTACAACAAACGGAATTTGCTTAATAGAAATCACTCTAACTAAGACTAAAATATAAGACCAAAAATTGAATTTCTCTGTTTTTATTTCTCAAATAAGAGTTCGCACTGTGATAATTTTGAGGTAATGTGACATGATACACGTGCACATTACTATACTTTTTGGTAATGTACATGACCACGTTTGATAATGAAAATACATTTTCACTTCTATTTTGATATATTTTCAATGTTTTACTTTTATTTATCTATTTTTCCTCACTCAATTTAGTCGTTCCTCCATTTTGTCCTTGTCAACTCATCCCTAGCTCGGTAAGATCTAGCCGTTCCTCCATTTTTTGTGTGTTGGCTTCAGCATGACCTTCACCAAGTAATTCCTCTATACTCATCTCTAATTTTTGTGTAATCGTCAATTTTTTTAGAACTGGTACAGGTGTGGAAACCATTCAGGGATGAAGAGGGTGTCAAAACCTTAACAGAAAGGGGAGAGCGAAGAGAATGGGGAGAGCGAAGAGAATTTGTTTGGAGAGGAAGAAAGATGTAAAGTATTTTCTTATTCCAATTGACAAGTCTAACCCTATTTATAAAGTTCCACATTAGAAAAGTAAAATACAACGAATATAGCTATTTTTTGAATCGCATCATTCCTTACTCCTTCAGAAAAGCTTTGTCCACATCCTTACACGTATGATAAAAGTAAAATACAATTTTTTTACGGCAAGCAAAAGTTCATTCAGAAGAAATCAAATGTGCAATACAACCGGGTGGTGTACGGCTCCATGAGACAAAGTGGGACGTAGCATGTAAAGGATAATCACTAATCATTAACTACATTTAATATATTACCTTACTTATTGTGATTATTATTCTAAAGGAGTAAATGGCGTGTAACTCCCCTAGGACTTAGGCTATTATTGTAGAGTCATTAACATTCTCTTAATTGTAGTTGATTATAAATATAACATCTGTAAATCATGTTTAGCAATGAAATAAGCCTTCCCTATATGGTATCAGAGCTGTAAAAGGTCTCTGTCTTCCTTTTTTTCTGTCCTTTTTTCGCTGCCCTGCTCTCCTTATGGCGTCAAATATCCCTTCCTCCTCTGCAATAACCAAAGACACTACGGTAATTCAACTTCATTCCAAAACCCATTTTCCAATCAAGTTGGTGTCCACCAATTTTGTAATCTGGCAACGCCAGGTTCGCTCGACTCTAATCGGCTTGGACCTACTTGGCTACATAGATGGTACCATGGTTGCTCCGCCCATGGCTATTTCCGGTTCCCCCAACCCGTGCTACTCTATCTGGTTCCGCCAAGATCAATCCATCGTTGGCGCGCTCCACGACAGTTGTGCTAATGTTGTTCAACCTCTCATATCTACTGCAGACACAGCACACGTTGCATGGATAAGCCTTCACACTGCGTTCGCCAGTGCGAGCTACGGCCGAGTTGTCTCTCTCAAATCCAAACTGGGCAACAACCCCTGTGGTGATCGTCCAATGGCTGAGTATTTGTTTGACATGCGCTCCATAGCAAATGAACTTGCTATCATTCAAAACCCTATCTTTGAGGAAGATCTTGTAGTCCATGTTTTAAATTAAGTTGGTGATGACTACGATTCCATATCATATCCTCCGCTGCGTTACTTCGCCCCACAGCCATCTCCTTCACGGAGCATGGGGATATTTTAACAGATCATGAGCGCAAGCTTAAATCATCTGACGAGGCTAAATCAACCATTGTTGCAACATCCAATTATACACAAAATCTTCGTGCTAGTCGTTCTCATGCTCCTGTACCACATCGTGATGGTTGCGGCACTGTTTTCAATGGTCGGCGTGGGCGTAGCACAAGAGGTGGTGGCTCATGGCCTGCTCGACAAAAATCTGGGTGCGACTTTTGTGATATCCCGTGTCATGATGTGAAGGACTATCGCAAACTTGGCACATTTCTGCGTACGCATGGCATCACCCCATCACCTGCAGTGCACAACACAATGGTGGTTGCACCTTCTGGTCTTCAATGGTTGTTTGATAGTGGTGGTAGTCATCACACTACACCTACTACACAGTCTCTTTAGTCCTTCTCTGATTACGAAGGTCCTAATGAGATCCGCTTGGGTAATGGCAATGGTCTCAAAATCACTCACATTGGTCATACCTCTATCTCAACCCCAACTCGTCCTCTGTCTTTATCTAATGTCTTGTGTGTTCCTAATCTTAATCGTAATATTGTTTCTATTTTTCAACTCTGAAGTCTAATATAATCAAGTTTTTGTTGAATTTTTGCCTTTCTCTTTTCATGTAAAGGATTTGAAAACGGGGGCCAAACTTCTCACCAGGCTATGCCTCTTGAATTACTTTATTAAACTGTTTGGTTGTGTAACACCCCGGCCCCCACCCTGGCCGTAGGTGTCCGCTCATAGGATTGTAGACTGGCCCCACAAACCAACACACGTCTTTCCCGCGCACTTTGTCCTCACTCGTGCGCGCTCAAGGAATTTCCCAGGGGTCACCCATCCTAAAATTACTCCAAGTCAAGCACGCTTAACTTTGAAGTTTTTAGGTGATGGGCTCCCGAAAAGAAGATGCACCTTGTTGGTATGAGTAGTACTATCAATCCTTTTGAGCTCTTCCCATTCCCATCTTGATACGGGGTATTACAGGTCGTGCAAAGAAACCTTTGTTGATGGCTCTCTCTATTATGTTATTTTTGTGGATCACTTCACCAAATATGTCTGGATATATCCCTTAGCCCGTAAATATGATGTTTTTAGAATTTTTCCTCATTTTAAAAATCTTGTGGAAAATTTTTTAAACGGGAGATTATTTCAATTTTCTCTGACAATGGGGGTGAGTTCATTAAACTACGTCCCTTGCTAAGTTCTTTTGGAATATCCCATTACACCACACCTGCATCAATTTTCTTCCTCTCAATTACTCCCTGCGTCCCTTTAAGATGTTCCCATTTTGACTTTTGGTGGTTTTTAAGGAGAGTTGAAAAAAGGTGAAAGTTTACAATAATATCCTTAATGAAAAATGGGTGGAATGTATTAAATGAGGTGAGTGAGGTATAATAAATAAAGTAAGTGAGGGTAGTTGTGGTATTTTAATTGTTAAAAAAATGAAATGAGAAGATCTATTGTGGATAAAGAAAAAGGGTTATTGAGAAGATCTATGAGGACAGAGGGAGTATGTTTATCCTGCGATCAACTATGTTGGCCAAAGTTTTATCCTCGAAGATCTCTTTCTTCTTCTGTAAGTATTATATATATATATATATATATATATATATATATATATATATATATAGATGGCTTTTCTAGAGAGAAGGAGGAGCAACGGTTTTCAGGCTTTCAGTCAGCGCCGGCCATCCATTCCTTTCAGTAATCGGAGAATCTACAGTAATCGGAGAAGAAGCCATGCTAGATGCGACGGATTCCAAAGGAAACACAGTTCACATCGCTTTCCGCAGAGCCCCTTTCATGGACTGCGTAGATGGCCCTTCAAAGACCTCCTCTCTAAAGGCAAGTATGATAATTACGTTTTCAGTGAATCTAGATTAAGCCTCAATGGATTTGAAGAGTATTCAACATCAACTAGCCGGAACATCAGATTTAAATTCCAGACACAAAATAAGATTTTTGAGCTCTTTTATTCCTTCTACAATCACAATTTCTGCATTTCTGATTTTGGTGCTAAAAGATATCACATTTGGTTTGATTTGGACACTGTTAATTGGATCCTGGGTTCTCTGCCTTTCTTTTCGAAGCTTAACTGCTGGGCAGTGTCCAAGTTTGAGGAAAATAGAACCATTGACCTTTCCATTGGTTCCATTAATAGAGGTAAATTTCTGAAAATCCGAGAGAGTAGGCGAGAGGGCAGTACCTTCCTAATTATTCCCTTTGATTCAAACATTGAGGGCCCAAAACTTTTCACAAAAGCCCTCTCCTTATTTACCAAGAGAGCTACCAATCTTGAGATATGCTCAAAGGTGAGTGTGTCTAAGGAACCCAAGGAATCCTTGCACCATTCTCCCAAGGGAACTGATGCTTCATTGCTGCCTACAGTCACAGGGCAGGAGG